ACATCGACAGGTCGCTCTCCCTTGAGATTTATTTACCTGTCCGCAAGTTTTCCTACTAGTAGAATCGGTACTCAACAACCTTACGAAGGATCTTTTCACGTGATCTCTCGTCACGAAAATACCTTCAAGGTTGATGGACACAGTCAGCATTGATCGTCTCATACCAGCACACGTCAATGACAGTGCCCCACCTGGTAAATCGAGATTTAATGCTAGACTCGTCCACCTGACTAGCGGGATCCTTATTTTTCCTTCTGATCCCACGCTAGCGAAATCAGAAACCTCATTCTCACGTCCCAGTCAGCAGCACGCGCCATCTGCACTATCTACGGATGAGACTCCGGTCTCACGTCCAGATCAGCAGACCACGCCGCACTTGACTGCGGATGAGAATGCAGGCTCACGAGGTACGCACAAGGCTACTGTCTTGCGTTCCGGTCGCCGCGTACACCTACCTGTACGCTTTCTCGAATAACCACCAATCAACAACGGGTGCGGCATAGGATTTTACCCTCATACTACATGCATGCTACACTTTTCTCCCTTTTCTTCTTTTTTTATCCCGAGCCTATACCTCCGACCATTGTCCTGTTGGTACCGTCGACTTCAGTCAACCTTGGCGAAAGCTGGCCTGATCACCCACGCTCTTGTCAATGCACTCAGTCGATTTTCTGGTGACGAATATATCTGGTATACGAATGGTTTCGAAATGGTCGTTTCTAGCCCCGCTCAATCTGTTTCCGTCCTACGTCTGCAGCTTTATCTGGTCCGAACGCCTACGAAAGCAATCTTCAGACTCTGGATACGAGCCACGCTGGTGTGGCATGCCAATCCGATAGACAAACTTGGCACATCAACTCGAGCAGCAAACCTGGCACGTTACTACTGGTACAGTTCAACGTAGAAGACTATCGGTGACAACTCGAGCTTCATTGGTCGCTTCCTGTTCGTCAACCCTTCCGCACTACGACCAAATGTTGGCCGACCAGCCCCCCCGTCGAACGCAGCCGCTATGTATCGAAAGTGTAAACCCTTTCTAGGCGGGGGCTGCTGTAGTGGAACGCTTCTACGAAGAAAATACGATTTGTGAAAAATAAACATTATTGTATTCGTTTTGTTTAACTGTATCAAAAACACTGCTACTTCTTCTTGCGCGCAACGTTCTCTTCGCGTTGCCGCCATGTTTCTCTGCTCCCTATGTAACGCCAACGTTGTCCTTCAATAAACCACTAAACTATGGATTTATTTTGTTCTCCTTTTTATCACGCAACCATATGGAACATTTAGTGGTGGGCATAGTCAAGCTGGTTTCCGGACTCGCTCACTAAAAGTGTATGCAGCTAAAGACAACTACATGAAGACATATTACCGACCCGCAAATAAATCAGGTTTATTCTGTAGCCTTATCCAATATAATTCACATTAAACTTCACATTTGTAAAGTTCCACAGGTCCGAAATACTCTATCAGGTGCTTCCAGTAAACATCTGGTCACAGTAATTTGAGCCTCATACATTCTATTGTGTGTTATTGTGAGAGTTCAGTTGCATGAAATGTACAATGATAATTCCATTAGATTGAATACTCGGTCTCACCTGTTCTGTGCATCCACAACACTAAATACAAATGATCTCAGCTGACTCTAAATTCACTGTCAGCTCTACACAAGTAACCAATAGACAGTACAATCTTCTTCGAATGTGGTGTAGACATGCATAAGTAGAAAGCACAAGACGGATAGAGATCGACAATCACACAAGCATTGAAGTGTAAAATACAATGTTCAGCAATATAGTTTTTTATTTGTCGCCAAATGCGAATTTCAAAGTTAAAAGTCGAATGACGATCGAATTGTCAGCGTCCAGTTTATTCTTTTTCTGCTTTCTTCAAGCCTGGGGATGAGAAAACAGAAAGCAAGAGTAATCAACTGTCGAATTTACTTGGCAATAGCAGGTGTGCATGAGTAAATACTCATGAATAAACTTATGTGCTGATACACTGACTGAACAACCAACAGTCTGAGAAGTTATCTCTGTGTAAGAGGTTGGACATGGCGAAGTGAATAAAGAACAGTAATTCTTCAGTGTACAGTATTACACAGAGATTTGGACGGAGAACGGATTGTGAAGAAACACAACCACATGAGAGGATGATTAGTCACATAGTTGATCACTGCTAGTGAACATAGAAGTATTTAATCAACAGTCATCTTATTTTAGATCACGAAATGATAAATGAGCACCTCCAGACTTACCATACACTTTCCTCCAGTCTCTTCTAGGTTTCCCCTTACCATGTGAAGCTGAAAACAATGACAAGGTACATGTCGATCAACTAGAAGTTTACTAGGTTACAATGATTACGAATGTAAGTGGGAATGAGTGACTGAGTGGGATGTTGAATTCACTTTTCTTGTTGAATTACTTTATCATGGTGATCTGGTTTTTGGAGCTGGCCGTTCACTTGATAATTGCTTTGGTATTTCCGCCGCTGCATCACGCTTGGCAGCGGAAGGCGAATAAGGGTGATAAAATCAGACAAAATGTGTACTCTACCGAAATGAACGACCAATCAAATTAAATAATCTCCACAAACATCAATTAAAACGCTTTGTTTAAGTAATCTTTCAATCTATCCATCTGCTGCCTACAGTGTCTCATCAGTTAGCTGACTATTCGAAACAATAATGCAGTCAGATGAATGAAATTTTGTCGAGAGACGGCCTCGAACGAATGTACTTCATATTATAGATCTGCACCAGCGAACTCACTGTTAGTATATATTAGAAAACTATCTCTATAATTAGTTCGAAAACTGTTCAAGAAAAATAGTATAGATATGAGTTATTTGTCAATCGACAATGGAAATGGATCCTAATAACGAGGAATCTAGCATTCATCCATTTTCTATGCTCGAATTATCACAAAGTTGATTTGCTATATTGAACTCCACAAATTATTGTTCGCTTACTAATTGTGTAATCCATGCACAATCTGTATTTACGGCAATGAGTCCCATCGAGAATAATAGTATGTCGATTATGTAAAGAAGTATTTAACTATTCGTGTTTCCAGTCACTCATGCCGTAAATGTAGAGGAAGCCAACTACACCAATACTTTGAGAGACTACGATTATTCGCTACTGAAAAACCAAATGCAGCTGAGTGCAAAATATCCATGTAAATATGACATTCTATTTGCGAAGTGAAAATACTTTCCTAAGATTCTGGTTCGCATTAGGTTGATCCACACAGTCAAACATACTGTTAACAATCAATGGTGTAAATCTATTGAGAAAATCACGTTTTCAGAAGGAACTCACGGGATTCAGGTTTTGCATGGTTTTTGGATTCAGCAGTTTTGGGAGTTGTCGTGGCTGCACCTTTGTCTAAAAGCGAAAAACAACACTACAATTAGTACGCGTCAAATAGCACAAGCTTCATTCAGTTTAAGTAGGATTTAACAGACGAGAAACGGATGTTTTGATATTTACAGTTTTCGTAAATCAGTGGTGTTTGCTGCTCCCAATGATACTTTATGGAATGTGTAACTGGATCGTAAAACACTACAGTGACAAATATAATTACTGGTTTGACAAGTGTGTGAGAGAGGTGTTGAATGAATGAAGTAAGCATGTCTGTTCACGTACAACTCACCCTCATCACAGTTCACCACATCCAGATAGTAGACAGCGGCACTGAAAATGAGCAGCACTATCTGCAATTGAAGGAAAAACCGAGGTGGTTTGGTTAGTCACACGAATCAGTGCCTCACCAAAGTTCTTTGCATTTTTACGCTCACTGACTTCTGATGTCTCAGTGACTTGTGCTTTAGAATTTATATGCTTGCAAACCTCTTGATTTCACGATGAACCAAATGAAAATTTGTATTCAATAAATCGTTACTGGTAATACGAGATGTCACTGTACTGAAAAAGTGTGTGTCATCTGTCATATGTCATTTTTAATAGGCATGTAGATCAATGAAATCGATTTCACGAAGTTAAAGATCTCACTTCGAGAGAGCCCAATGCTATTATTTTGTAATCACCACATACTCTGGGAGTTTGTCATCACAATTCATAGGAGAAACAATAGGAGCATGTCACGCTGAAAACTTCTGTGATTCAGCTACAACGTTAAAATTTTAAACTGTTGAGTTTTGAATGAAATCATTGACTCCAAACTGCCTGTATCAATAGTGAAATAAATGAAAGTGGATTTTGCAGCATATATGGAGCCATGCTGATTCACGAAGTACATGTTTTTACTAATGTGTAGTTTCATTTGATCATTCTGTTAAAATATGCTGGCTTTCTGATGTTATTGATCAAGACAGTAGAGCCCCTGCTAAATTGATTTCTCGAATTCTCAACGTCTTATGCTCAACCAACGAGTGTTCGACAGACGTTCACCGAATAAAACAGAATAATACTGATATATTCCACATCACAGTCAGTAAAATATGACTGAATTCGAATTCCACATGATGCAGTGATGATCGCTGTACATTTTGTAAGGTTGAATTTCTCGAGCACGTTCATGATGTGATATGGGATGCGAAGATCTGTGAATTAATTCAGAGTACATCAAACTTACTAACTAACTAACTAACTCACAGTTCTAACCACGGAACGGAGTGCATCATTACCATTTCAATTCGCAATGAATCGACACTGTTGAGTAATCTCGATCCCAATCTCCTTACCTGACATCGACCTCCCTACACACAGAACCCCAACAAGACAAACAAACAAGACAGACAAACAAACAAACGAACCTCACATTCTGCCACTTTCCACGTGAATTCACTTCATTGAACGCTTCAATCAGCTGAAGTAACGTGACACTTCCTTCGATCGACCACATGTCAGATTGCTAGTATTCATTTCTGCAAGGCAACGTTCCGTTCGATCAGGTGACCGAGAAATCGACAACTCCACAAGCATATAAATTGAAGTGCACAACTCACTCGAACATCAGAACACACTGAACGTACAAATGCAAGCAACATTGGTAAGGCATTCATTCGACTTATCGACTAAATCGCTCTTTCTCCCTCTTCGTTCCTCTCTCTCCCTCTCTCACACAGGTCGCAGTATTGATTTTCACCATCGCTTCGAACTACCTGGATGTGGTGCACTGTGACGGAGGTGAGTCTCTGATACATATCCAAACGGACGCAGTCGACTTTCACTCGTTCATTCCTTCATCAATCCACTCACCCATCCATCCATCCATCCATCCATCCATCCATCCATCCATCCATCCATCCATCCATCCATCCATCCATCCATCCATCCAACCAGACGTCTGTCCGTCTCTTTGTACATCCTTCACGCCATCGATTCACTCGTTCACCTGTTAACTCACACATTCATTCATTCATCCATTCTCTCATCCACCACCACTTCATCCACTCATCCATACAACTGTGCATTCAATCACAGTCTACTGACACAATTCAAACCATGTGGTTAGAAGCATCGAGCATCATTGTGTGTTTCGCAGATGACAATCATACGACCATCGTTTTACTCGCCACAGGAGAACATCACAATCCCTACTCACTATCCTCTACTATTATTCACTGGTCACATAGTTAGCCAGTCAGTCAGTCAGTCAGTTAACAATCGTCATGTCAGTTGCACATCTATACACGCATCATGAACAATCGAACTGAGTGAGATTGCTACAAATGAACACGAATTTAACCACCAACATATTGTTTCGTTACTGTTTTCGTACACAGATACCACGTCTGCAGCCACAGCCGGATCAACCAATAAACAACCAGCTGCAACAGTCACACGAAAATCTGCGGCAGCACGCGGAAAACCAGGTCAGTTCATTCACTCACTGTTCAACCACAACTCACACCACTCACCTCATTTGTTGTGTTGATTGTCCAAAGACTATCTCCTTAGTCCTCCTCATCACTCTTGTTTACTATATTCGTCATTATCGCCATAATTACCATCAAGAGTAGCAGCAGCATCATCATCACTATAAATATCGTCACCATCATCATTATCATCATCTTCATCAAAATCAGTACCCAGCAACATCGCTCATAGCTTCTCGATAACAGAGTCGTCTGTCAACTGAACACTCATCCATTCACATCCACTCACATATCTCTCACTCTCTTCCACTTCTTGTGATGTATCTGCAGTCAATACTGAAATTCCCTTCAACCAATCATGCAGTCGGTGCCCATTGAACTTTCTCTCAGCATGCTTGTCAAGTGCGTATCACTAGAATCGCGTGTGTCTGAGTTAACGCTGTGGACAATGTAGAATTCTTTTTGAATGTTTTGTTTTTGGGAAAATCCCTCCATGTTTACATATTTTTGCCATGACCTGATGGACTTTTTCTCTTGACATTTTTGGTATTTTATTTGATTCCAATTTGAGATTTTACCATTGTATGTTGTTATTCTTTCCATATTTTGTACTTATATTGAAGTTTTTGTGTTTGCTTCTGAATTGTACATATATTGTTTAAATTTGATATAATATGGCTACCGCCACATTTTTGGATAGACGCGGTGGCTGCTGGACTTAGTGTCACTTACTAGCTATTGTAATAGATACTCTACGGAGTAATTTAGTCCTGGAAGAAACATAAACATCGTAAGCCTCTGTATTTCCATTTTATAACAATAGAGACGGTTTTCTCCTAGAATTTTCGGCTTTCTGATTTGGCTGGGACGGGGATCTAGGAGAATCGTACCGGTGTGTTTCTATTGGACGCGATTAGGACAGCCGCTGGCGAAATAAATTCTACAGTCTGATGTTTATCCTTCTGGCGTGAATTATACTTGGAAATATTTACCAGAACGCAGATAATTTGGATCTATTTGGATTATTAAGAATTACAAGGAAACATTTGGAATTTTAATCGTTTATCATACTAGACTTCCTTGGAGGAAGAAATTGGAACTACGTATCATTAATTTTGAACTGAAATTTGGATTTATTCTATTTTGTATCGTTAACGTCTTTGCTGGACTTTATTTATGATGTCAAACCGAAAAAAATCACACGTGAGGAGGGTGGAAGAGCTCGACGGATCACAGGGCTCTAGGCAAGTCGTTAACGATAAGCTTTTTATGGGTAACCCACATGTTATGTCTGATATTTATTATTGTAAGTCATCGATAGAGGGTTTAGAATTACCTAAGGTTGAACTTTCATATTTTGATGGAAGGTCTCGCGACTATTTTAAGTTCATACGACAGATAGAGACGTTTATAGAACCTCGAATCAAGGATGATCAAGTGCGTTTATTGTATTTAATTCATTATTGTAAGGGAAAAGCTAAAAATGCGATCGAAGGCTGTCTTATAATGGACCCACAGGCAGGATATAAGAGAGCTAAGGTTATTTTAAAACAGCTTTTTGGGCAGTCACATGTGATAGCGCGAGAAACCTTAGAGGACTTATTTAGAACTGGGAATGTCGAATTTAATGATCCTGAATCATTGACGAACTTGGCCATTAAAATGCAGAATGCTTCTTTAACTTTAGAACAGTTAAATTGTACAGCCGAACTTAACTCTATGACTACTTTAGAACGAATAGTAAGGCTCTTACCTCGTCGAATGCAAGCCCAGTGGGCAGAGCTAGTATTCAAGTGGGACGAAGAGGAGAGAGAGCCCAATTTTAACGAATTGACGGAATTTATTATGTCTCGTGCTAAGATAGCTAGTAGTAGGTTTGGAAGATTAGCTTATCAGGCTAAAACAGGAGATAATATGGAAGCTACTAGTGGTCTGCGTGCGAGACATTCGGATTTTTCGTTTCTACCTAAAGCACGCTCGGAAGATAAGCGATTTGTCAATTATATCACGAAAGCATACCCTGATGAAGTACGAGTACGTGACCGTAACGATGTAAATTCTCTTGATGCGTGTCCTCGCAAGAAGCCGGTTGGTTTAACAGATAAGATGGCTTTTCTAAGTGTAGAAAAGAAGGAAAAAGGCGAAAAGTGTAGGCATCAAGATGGATCCGAAGTGTGTGACGATAAAAGCCTCTTAGCTGCTCGAAAAGCCTGGAACGGTAATTTGGATTCGAGTAATCAGAGGTTAGTGAGTTCAGCAAATATGAATAAAGCCCAGGCAGGATTGACTGAACGGAATAAAGCTTATTTTCGGAACCCTTCAGTTAGGGTAAATTATATAACTGGACCTAGAGTAGCTTCTAGGATAAGTGATGGTGGAACAGTAACGGCTAAGAAGCCTAGGAGACATGATGCTACTATTACTAAGAAGCCTGAACCTCATGCTCTTTCGGATGCTACGACTAGCTATGGAAATAGTAGCCATCAGAACCTCAATAGTGACAGTGATAATGAGAATATAGAAAGTGTCAGCAGTCCACTTATAGGGACTAGTTTATCGACTTCATCGAGTGAGCCTCCTAGTGTTTCGACGCCATCGGACCTCGTCACGAAGGTTAAGTTGATTGAAGATGCACAAGGTTGTGCAACTGTAACTGTTCCTATTACGGTTGACCGTCAGTCGAGTGATGATGAGAAGAAAGTGTTTGATGGTAACAGCCAGTCTACAGTGCTGTGTGATGACGATGCTATTGTTGAGCATATGTCTTGTGCCGCGGAAACGGATGCTAATGCAGAACGGAATCAATTAGACGTTGATAATAAACCGGATGTCACTGATGTGACAAATGAGTTACCGACGATGATGAACACTGTTCAAGCCTCCTCTGCAGCAGGAGATGGAAGGATAAATATTGATCCTACGTCATGCTACTTAAGGTCTTCTGGAGACGACGAAATGTCAAAATTGGAAATCTCACCCTTGCATATTAGTTATGGGTCAAAAACTTCTGTTGATAAGTTGGCATCACGGACTTCATGGTATCTGCTGATCAGATAAGTGGTGGTGGATTGGCGACTCGTCCCCACGATAGAGAATGTAATCCTCGAATAGGATATGACCAGTTTTGCGACGCGTTGTTCATGTTCGTATGGGTTAATTGGGTAAGGTTTATACTACCGTTAGGTCATTCCACGATAGATAGGGGAATCAAGGGCCTGATGGGAAAGTATAGGTATCTAGTTAGCGCGATAGGTCATATCCATGTTGGATGGCGGGTAGGCGTACTGCTGTAAGTCCTACACGTCATTCCGGTGTGGATTAGGGGATAACATGGGAACCCTAAATAAGGTGTCATCAACGCTTGCTGTTTTTGCATGGAGGGATTTTGCGGGCCGGTGTAGAATTCTTTTTGAATGTTTTGTTTTTGGGAAAATCCCTCCATGTTTACATATTTTTGCCATGACCTGATGGACTTTTTCTCTTGACATTTTTGGTATTTTATTTGATTCCAATTTGAGATTTTACCATTGTATGTTGTTATTCTTTCCATATTTTGTACTTATATTGAAGTTTTTGTGTTTGCTTCTGAATTGTACATATATTGTTTAAATTTGATATAATATGGCTACCGCCACATTTTTGGATAGTCGCGGTGGCTGCTGAACTTAGTGTCACTTACTAGCTATTGTAATAGATACTCTACGGAGTAATTTAGTCCTGGAAGAAACATAAACATCGTAAGCCTCTGTATTTCCATTTTATAACAATAGAGACGGTTTTCTCCTAGAATTTTCGGCTTTCTGATTTGGCTGGGACGGGGATCTAGGAGAATCGTACCGGTGTGTTTCTATTGGACGCGATTAGGACAGCCGCTGGCGAAATAAATTCTACAGACAATACAGAGGTACTTTCATTCTATCCCACAGATACGGCTACCACCGTCAAGCAAACCGCACAAACCAAACCATCGGGAAAAAAGCCGAATCCAATAAACCCATCCAGATCACCAGCACGTGGACGCAGTAAGTCATTACACCAACTACATCTATTCTTTCTGTTGGTTTATTTCGATTGTCTCCAGCAGTACAACACACCGATCATTCCTCCACAAACACGTACTCATACACTCTCACTCACTCACTCACTCACTCACTTACGCACTCACTCTCACAGTCAGACAATATGCTCAATCAGTAACTCATCCATTCACTAAACCTCACAACACTGTCCATTTTCATACTCTCTCATCGAATGCCAACACGCATCTGTTCCGTTTCACCCACTCACCCACTCACCCACTACTGATCGTTGCAATCTACTGAGATTCTGATTAACAAACAGCTGTCGTTTCACTTCATTCCAGGTCCTAATGCTCCAACACCTGCCAAAAAATCCCAACCTCCACAACAAGGTAAGTCTGCTAACTGTCATGCATCACTCTCCACACTCAAATCATCCAGCTCATGTCATGATGTATGATTGCACGATTTACCGTCTATCTGTGTGTATGTGTCAGTGTTTATTCACTGACTATCTCACCAAATTTATGTTTGTTTCATTTGTTTTTTAGACAAGAGAAAATCAGTGAAGGCATGAGGTGAATGCACACAATGTGTTCAAGGACAATCTCTACACTTTTCAATATTTGTCCAGTGATAATTGAATAAAATGTTAGATATCAAACCTAGTACTTTGTTCTCGGTGGTTTGTCCACTTGCCTGTTTGTCTGAATGCTGCTTTCAAAAAACAGCTTGTCAATTTTCAACGAATATCGGTGCCTGTTTCGTACTGCCTTACACTATAGGTGTATAGTGAGTGCCAGCTCATCTCGTCTGAATGCCACTAGCTGGATTTGAATAATGTTTCAAGACGACATCAGTAACGGAAAGCATTCTGTATGCCACATATAGAATAATCTCTGAATTTGTAATCCCACCTGTACAAAAGTAACCGCCTGATCACAATTAATCTCTCTTTTCTAGTAATTCGGAACATTATTCCATCGTTTGTTCTCACATTTGTGTTCGTCTGACTCCAAAACCAACGGTCAACATTGGACAGTTACTTCTACCACGTATCTACTCAATAAATTTCTCGATGCTTATTTATTCATAGGCAACCAATTATCATAAATAACTCCAATTAAGATTCATGAACAATATTCATTACCATCTGTTATAGGGTGGAAAATGTCGGTCCATTTGAGTAGTAAACTTAATTTAATCTCTTCTGTTGTGACTGTGATTGAAAGTTACATTACTGGAGCTGTTGTGTGTATTTATGTTGGTTCCAATCTTTGTGAGACTAACATTAATTTCATGAGCAAAGATATACTTTATTGATTAATGACTTGCGTATAGCAGGACGAAGAGTAGATAAACAGTAACTCGGAAGACTGATATCTGATTGATATATCTGTTCAAAATCAATCGGAAGCAAAGTCAATGTGGAAGAAAGTTGTATAGTTAGTTGGTAAGTAGCACATGATCATTATTATTATTACTACTATGATGATTACTCGGAAAATCATTGGTACTATCCAAATGACTTTGATAATTTCCAGCATCTTATTTGTTTGACAGAAATCGAGTGAACATAGGTTCCTTCACGAGGAATATTATCTTTAAATTCCACGAACTTTCCACAAGATCACATCGTTATCTATTGCCCAATTTATAACCATAATACTCCTACACTTTCCCGCTTACTTTATTGAACTTCTTTACGCCAATACACCCTGCATCACTATATTTTGTTTGAAAACCCTTACACTTCTCTCCATAACTTTGGACTGTATTTCATTGATGCCTAGCCCATAGTTCATAAGTTTGTTGAAGCGTGAAGGTTACACGTCCAAACGAACTCCAGATCAGAAGATTGTATATAGGATATCAACGTTTATTAATAGAAAATCGAGTGATATTAGAATAATATCACGTGTTCAGCTTGTACAATCGATGATTACACGAGACGATCGTTAGATCCGCAGGGATGGCGTGGGTGGCGCTCGAAAAGTGACTTTTAGTATAAATAAACAAATGATATACAATAAAACAGTTAATGTTACATATGTTCAATAATAAGTATTTGTACGTCAGTAATCGTATTATTTCGACGAAATAGTTCCACTACAGGAGCCCCCCCCTAGAAAGGGTTTTACACTTTCGATATGTAGCGGCTTCGTTCAGGGGACTCGTCGGCCAATATTCGGTTAACGGGCAGAATGGTTGACGACAGGAAGCGACTGATGAAGCTCGAGTTGTCACCGGGAGTTTGTCCGCTGCCGTGCCAATAATTATGCGCCAAGTTCGTCCACCGGGTTAGCATACCACACCAGCGTGGCTCGTATCCAGTGTCTGATAATTGCGTTCGTAGGGGTCCGGACCAAATAAAGCTGCAGACGTAGGACGGAACCAGATTGAGCGAAAGAGCCAGAAACGACCAGTGCGAAACCATTCGTATACCAGATATATTCGTCACCAGAAAATCGACTGAGTGCATTGACTAGAGCGTGGGTGATCAGGCCAGCTTTCGCCAAGGTTGACTGAAGTCGACGGTACCAACAGGACAATGGTCGGAGGTATAGGCTCGGGATAAAAAAAATCAAAGAAAAAGGAGAAAGAGTGTAGCATGCGTGTAGTATGATGGTAAAATCCTATGCCGTCCCTGTGAAGGATTGGTAGTTATTCGAGAAAGCGTACAGGTAGGCGTACGCGGCGACCGGAACGCGAGACAGTAGCCTCGTGCGTACCTCGTGATCCTGCATTCTCATCCGCAGTCAAGTGCGGCGTGGTCTGCTGATCTGGACGTGAGACCGGAGTCTCATCCGTAGATAGTGCAGATGGCGCGTGCTGCTGACTGGGACGTGAGAATGAGGTTTCTGATTTCGCTAGCGTGGGATCCGGGGTAGTTTTGAGGATCCCGCTAGGTCTAGCATTGGGTCTCGGATTAGCAAGTAGGGCACTGTCATCGACGTGTGCTGGCTTGAGACGATCAATGCTGACTATCTCGACGCGGCCATGTCGAGCAACCTTGAAGGTCTTTTCGTGACGAGAAATCACGTGAAAAGGTCCTTCGTAAGGTTGTTGCAAAGGTTTGCGTACCGAATCGACTCGAATGAAAACATGTGAGCAGGTAGATAACTCTCGGGGGAGAGCGACCTGTCGATGTTGTACTCGAGTTGACACCGGAGGCAGTGCTCGCATAAATGCAGACAGTCGTTGGACGTAGTCTGATTTATTGAAGTTATCACCGCTCCGTGGTGTGAAAAATTCCCCAGGCAGACGCAATGTCGTGCCGTATACCAATTCAGCGGCGGAACATTGAATATCTGCCTTTAAGCTCGTTCTGATGCCTAGAAGGACGAGCGGTAAGGTTTCGTACCAATTATTGTTTTCGTGTGCTCGAAGAGCGTTTTTGAGTTGGCGATGAAACCTTTCGACTAAACCATTTGAAGCTGGGTGGTAGGCGGTAGTGCGTATGCGCTCCGTACCAAGCAGCCGAGTTAGCGAGGAGAATAGTTCGGACTCGAATTGTTGTCCTCGGTCAGTTGTGACAGTCGAGGGACAACCGTACAGAGCTATCCATCGTTCTACGAAGCGGTGAGCAACTGTTTCCGCCGTAATAGAAGTGATGGGAATAGCTTCGGGCCATCTTGTAAAGCGATCAATGCACGTGAGTATGTGATCATACCCATGCGATGGTGGTAATGGTCCTACAATGTCAATATGAACGTGATCGAAGCGAGCATCAGGCGTAGCAAATGTGCCGATGGGGGCGGCTACGTGCCTGTGCACTTTTGATCGCTGACATTGTAAGCATTGCTTTACCCACATACGGACATCTTTGTTCATGGAAGGCCAGACGTATCGTGCAGCGATAAGACGTAATGTAGCTGCGATACCTGGATGAGACAAACCATGAAGGGCATCGAAGACGAGACGACGATAAGCAGAGGGTACGATGGGTCGAGGAAGACCATTAGAGGTATCACATAGGATAGTGCCTGAGGTAGTAGCTAGGGGCACTTCCTGACACTGAAGGGATGTATTCTGTTGTGCTTCTGAACAAGAAGGATCGTTTGCTTGGGCGGCGGCCATAGCAGGAAGATCGAGCACTGGTGAAGTAACTGCATTCATTTGAATACGTGACAAAGCATCAGCAACGTAGTTCGACTCGCCTTTAATATGACGAAGGTCTGTCGTGAACTGAGAGATATAGTCCAAATGTCTGCACTCTCGTGGTGAGTAGCGGTCAGATTTTGTATGAAGAGCATACGTTAGGGGCTTATGGTCGGTAAAAAGGATAAAGTTACGACCTTCTACTGCGTGCCGAAAATGTTTGATGGCACAGTAGGCTGCTAGCAGTTCGCGACCAAAAGCGCTATATCTCATCTCCGTGGTAGTAAGGCGTCGTGAGAAAAATTCGAGAGGTTGCCAACTTCCAGAGATGTTTTGTTGCATGACGGCTCCTATAGCGAAATCAGATGCATCAACCGCTATACTGAGCGTGGCTGATGGGTCGGGATGGGCGAGGAGCGTAGCTTGAGCTAGAGCTTTTTTAATTTCGGAAAATGCAGTACGTGCGTCATCGTTCAATTCTAGCTTACGTGGATTCCCGCGAAGTAGATCGGTTAGTGGTCGTAACTGTTCCGCGGCGTGAGGAATGAAACGTCGATAGAAGTTGACCAAACCGAGAAAAGCCTTCAGTTCTTTGAGTGAAGACGGTACAGTGTACTCCATGATCGTACGTACTTTATCTTCACATGGTAAAATACCCTCATGCTTTATAACGTGACCCAGAAATTTTATTTCTGCTTTTCCAAGTTCGCACTTATCTGGGTTGATTAGTATTCCATTATCCGAAAGACGTTGGAATAAGAGTTTAAGATGTTGATAATGTTCATCTACGTTTGATGATGCGATTAACAAGTCATCAATATAGACGTGAACAAAATCAAAGTCTCGTACTATGCTATCGATAAACCTCTGGAAAGTTTGAGCAGCATTCCGTAATCCAAATGGCATTCGTAGGAACTCAAACAGACCGAAAGGAGTCGTGACAGCAGTTTTCTCAATATCCTCAGGAGCGACTGGGATCTGATGGTAGGCCCGTACCAGATCGATCTTGGAATAGATAGTCATGCCCTTGAGTGATGCGGTGATGTCGTGTATGTGGGGGATGGGGTAACTATCGAAACGCGTGACTACATTTAGTGCTCGGTAGTCGCCACATGGTCGCCAACTTATCCCATCTTTTTTTCGAACCATGTGGAGTGGTGAGGCCCACGGACTGTGAGGAGGACGAATAATACCAGTAGCTAGTAAATTGTCGAACTCACGTTTAGCGAAAGCTAATTTGTCCGGTGCCAGTCGGCGAGGCTTTGCCGTGACTGGTGGTCCGCGGGTGACGATGTGGTGTTCCACATGTCGGGTCACCGACGGAGTCTCCTCGAGTGGTTTAGTTAATTGGGGGAATTTTTCGAATAAAGCGTGGAAAATGTCATCACGCGAATGAAATAAACCTGTTATTCGGTACGCATTTGTATGAGCTCGAAAGCCCATAAATTTGCTGTTCGACGAAGTATCGATTAGCTGCAGCCTACGTGAATCGACTAGCAATTCATAGTGCTGTAGGAAATCGATACCGAGTATAGCTGTGGGAACATCGGCAATGATGAACGTCCACAGATACTGTCGTCGGTTGCTCAGGTTGACCGATAGCTGTCGTGTACCATAGGTAGGAATGACAGTGCCATTCGCAGCGCGTAATCGAATTATTGTAGGTTGTAACTTGCTGCTACCTAATGGTACGACAGAAACTTGGGCACCGGTGTCAACTAGGTACCTAGCGTTCGTGCGGATATCGTGCACGTAAAATAAACGGCCAACCTGAGGTGAGTGGCCGGCGAGTAGGGCCGCTTTTACTCGCCGGCTTGGGAGTTTCCCGCCTTGTATGAGCATGGAGGTCGACAATGGCGGGCGGCGGACCTGAAAGTCCGATGGAACCAGCACCAACCGGTACTCGCTTCCGAAGCCGCTCGTTGGCGTGGCTTGGAAGATGCCCGCTGGGGGCGAGTACTTACAGCCTTACGTGATCGCGATCGTGCTCGCAGGACGTAGGGTTCAGGTACTTTGGAACGGTCTGAAAAACTCAGACGGCTGTGTATACAGCAACCCTGATCCTTATGAGCTTT